CTTTTTAACCATGTCGTTTGCACTGTTGACATAACCTCCTTTCCCAAGGAGCTATAATGTGCAAAGGGTCTCTGAATAAGCCTGATGACTTTAGAAAGTGGCAGATTAAAGTTTCTCCACCCCTGTAATTTGTGTTCTCACTACAAAGAAGAATAAAAATATACATAGTAAAATAAAAACTTAAAAATAATTTCACATTTCATTTGATGCTTAGTGGTTTTGGTCACTCAGCAAAAAAAGAGAGAAAATAATCCCGCAGTGTATAGTCCAAGGTACAAACAATAAGGAATACATTAAAATGCCATTTAAAACAATTTCCCAAGAATACCGATGAAATAATGTAGTAAATTTATGTGTTGAGGGTTACCTCTGCTCTGTTATACTCTGATGTATGTCTGGGGCATGAAGGTGGTAATGTTACAGAAGTGCATCTCAGGAAAGAGAAACTTTTAAAAAGACAGAAGTGAGAAAGGAAAAAAAGTGAACAGGAGAGGAAGGATCTGTTATGGGAAATGGATATATTAGATTTCCTCACACAAACTGTGAAACTGGAGGGTTTATGGATATTCTGGAGAAATGGAGTATTATAGGGATCTTGTTTCCTGAGGTAATGGATCTGCCTACCACAGATTTCCCAGTATTGCAACATGCAAACATATACATCAGTATGTCTGTACTGTGTGCAACACCAGTGTTTCATGCAAGGCACAAAGGAGAAGAGACAGGAGCCCTGTTTTGAGTCACTCACATCCAACACTCCAAGCACAGTGAGTTTTCCAGCAGTGAGGTGATTGCTCAGGCCAGAGTAGGGATAGAGCAGAGGATCTCGCATTCAACCTGGCAGCATATTTTCACAAGGCACACTGCAGCCTAGATGCACAAAGTTGGGTTTGTATGAACAAATTGTTTTTATCAGAATGAGATGCCAGTGACTGAATAAGTTTCTGTAGATGGTGATGCACAGAGTTCCCATGCTGAGGTGGACGTGCTGCTGTTGGCAGGGGCAGCACTTCATGAGTAGTAGGTGCCCAAGTGAAGCCCACCTCCTGCACACCTGCAAAGCATGGCAGTGTGCTTAGACCTGCACGTCCACAGCCATATGGACCTGAGGCACATTCTCTTCATCAAAACAGAGAGAAACAATTTTTCTTTTAAATTCGGCAATTTTCACATCACCTTAATATATGAAGACATGGCCTGTCTTTTGTATGGCAGAATTATTTCTGTATAGCCTGTCTCATTTAAAAATAAATAATCTCTGTTATGAAAAGACTAGAAGAATATCCATCGATTTGACAGCTTCTAAAAATCTTTCCAAGTCAATTTGCTGGCAACAAAATGAAGGGACAACTCATTTCCATGGTGATGCTGACTGAATCACTCTAGAGCAGCTGAAGAATGAATCCTGACCCAGGTGGATGCTGTTTAAGTCCAGTAAGCATGCAAGCAGCAAGTACTCCTTGTGCTGGATATCCATTAAAAAAGCTTATTTTCATTCATGCTTGGGTTTTTTTCTTTGCATTTTTTAGAAGTTACAAAAGCTCTGTGTTTCGCATGTAGTAGGTAGTATTCTGTAAAGAAGTATACAGAAATGTGTGGAACTTCGGCTGAAAAAGGATGTGCTCTTCCAAGAACATTTGGTTTCTCCCAAACTGAGTAGTTGCTATGGTTTTTTCCTTAGCCCAAATCGACTTTGAGAAAAAGTTGCCTAGAAAAGACTGCTGAACTGAGATTAGTTTTCTGTCTTTCAATAAAATGCTTTTTCTATTTCAGTGATCTTTAAGAGAAGAAAATTCTGAATTGTCAGTTCCTGACAAAAGGAATAATTTTCATGCTTTTACATGACCTTATACATAGATATTGGAAATCCATTATAATGCTTAATATAATTTTTAAATGTTTCTTTTAAAGACTTGCATAGTAATCATTCTTAATTTTAAAATAAATTGTTTACAAGAGCTTTTATTTTCTTTTATTTCAAATAATTTACTGGAGAGATTTATCTAAAGAGTTATGTGAACTGACTTGCTGGTTATATTCCTTTTCAAACAGGCTACAGTTAGATGACATCTTTTCATAGTATTTTTTTTCCTTAGAATGCTTTGTTTCTCATTTAGTTCTCATTTAGTCACATGATATAGTCCTTGAATAGAAATATGTTTGACTACACTAAGAAATGAGCGTACTATGTACCTATAGAAGAGGCCTATATTAGTAAAAGTAGCTTCATGCTTAACACAACCTCCAGCAATATTTTTCTTTGTTTGTTTTAAGCTTTACTAGAAAATATGTTTTGCTTCATTATCATTAATCTAAAAGTCCTAAAATTGATGTAACTGCCAAATTGATTAGTAATTCTGCAGTGGGTACTGTTTAATAAACGATGACAAAACCAACTCAAAGCATTCAAATTATTGCCATGTTTGCACATAAAATTAATTTTTAGTTCCTGCGGCTTTTGAAGGATCTGTTCTTCTACACAGTTCTTTCCTAGCAAGCTGAATTATTTGTAAGATGTTGCAGTGGGTTTATTATTTGCAGGAGCCTCAGAGTGGAGAGGAAAGGCAATGTTGTTGAAGCCTGAGGATTTTGAAACAGCACTCGAATATACAGATTGTGATGGTCAAGAAATGCAGGTCTCTCATAGGTGCATTTCCTCAGGGTAGTCTCATATTCAGGTATTACAGCTCCCTGTGATTCATCCCATTATTTTTTTGTGCACACTCATTCACTGTCACAATGACCTCACTTGTCAAGGACAAACACATTTGTAAGAGCTCATCCATTTGAGAAACAGGATGGTTGATGTGCATCTAGAGCTTCTGGCCAACAACAGCTATGGCCAGCTGTGGGGAGAAATGACAGAAGGATTTGTCTGTCCCTCTCACAATCAAAGATATGTCAGTGTTGTTACTGGCTGGTGAATTGTGCTTTATAAAAAGTTTTGGCGGCTTTGCTTCAGAGCTCCTGCTGTGTTCAACACAAAAAGGCCATTAGACTCAGGACATAATTATAATGAATGTTACATGTTTTGAGTAATTTGTGAGAGCTTTCTGACCTTGGGACTTGTTAACCCAGTGAAGTGTTAGTTTTTAGAGCAACATACCCTATCAAAATGTGTGCTTGAGATATTTCTACAATTATTCTGCTTGTGTAGTGCCAAATATACAAGGTTTCAGAATTATTTGCTGTAAAAGGAGTTTGAATGCAGGGTAAGATGAGCAGAAACCTGATTTTGGACATAAGTAATACAGGAAGACAAAGTAGTACAGCCTTTAGTTTGAAGTTTGAAGGATAGATTACTAGTTCTTGAACTGCTTTATTATGCATGGCATCTCAGTAGTTGTGTATGTAATGCCTTAGATCAATTTATATTCTATGATGAAGTATTTCTTGTATTTCTTATATTATGATATTGCTCTGGATATGTACTGACTAAGGAGGACTGCAATCTTCTTTTTTGAATAAAATGAGGTAACAGTAGAAATGGTCATGCAGTCTTTTCCATAAGCTGTACTTCCATGATTCATGTACTAGAAAAAGCCATTCTTGCTTGTTTCTTTTTCCTTAATAGTATCACGTGCAAGTTATAGAAGCAACAGGTTTTTTAGATCCCTCCTGCATCTGCTGTTGCATAGTAATTTTGATGGAAAAGATTAAATAGAAGTGGGTGATGGGTCAAAATCCATTGTGCTATGCTAACATGGTGCTGCATTGGATAACTCTGGTTTCTAGAGAAGGTTAATACATTCAATGTAAATCAAAAAAGCATGAATACAGTATTATATGGAGTGATTTCTAATTAACATTAGATATAAGGATTAGAGGAACAGTAAGGGAGGTTACAGGTGACTGTAAGTGAGGTGACAGTGGGTTATGCAGAAATAAGTAAGAGGTTAATGCTGCTTTAACTGTTGACACTGTTACTAGACATGTTTTGATGAAATTAACTGATGAACTGAAGTTAAGAGAGAGCTTCAATTATAAGGAGGCTTCAGAGACTGGACCAAAAGAAGCAAATGACAATGAGGGCTGAAATAATAAATATTTAATGACCCAGATGGTGCATCAGTCCAGATCCTCTGCTATGGAAACAAGCAACAAATGTCTCAAATCTCTGAAGGGCATGAATTGAGTAACAGGCATCTGACAGGATAATATGATTATGAGAAAGCAAAAGTAATCCTGAGATACATTGGGAATCCTGAGATACATCTCTTCTAGGAGAGAAGAAACTACTGATGTGTTAGTGGGGAGCACTGTGTGGTTCTAAGTGCCTCTATTCAAAGACATCAACTCCAAACTGATGAGGCAGAGGAGACTTGCAAAGCTGCTTGTAAGGTTGGTCATCCTCTTCAGAGAAGAATAAGTTTGACTTCTTTGTTCTCAGTGGCTTCTTCTGATATAGCACTCTACGTACATGGAGGAGAGGGAAAGGTTCTGAGGCTGAGAAGGTCATTTTGGCACAAATGGACATAATCTTAGTAATAAGCAGCTGAAAATTTCAGAGCTTCCTTCTTTCTCTTAGAGGTTTTCCTGAAGCAGAATAATGAAACAACAGGCAGCAGATGGGCCAAGGCCTACCCTGAGAGCAGGGGGAAGGTTTCTGCAGAGACTGGAAGCACTGGTACCAGAATGCTCTACTGGGCTACCTGTGGTGCCCCAAATTTTCACGTGAATGAACAGTCATGCTCAAGTCCTTGTAAAGCAAAGAACTAAAAGCCATAGAAGTTTCCAAATATTGTTGAGATATGTTCAGCCAAGTTGTTGAATACTGAAAGGAACCAAGCAGTCATCTACCCTCATCACCTTACAGGGCTTAATCTGAGAGTGATGTATCAGGCTGGTGTAGAAATTCACAAATTTACTTTCCCTCTCAGCAAAATAATTTAATTTTGAAGAAAATCTTGTACATTCATCCATGACCACTTTGCTTTCATTCAGTCATGATTATTTGTTTAATTCTTCCTCATGTGTATGTTGTGTTTTTTCTTTTACAGGACAGTTCGTGTCTGGCTGAAGAGAGACAGTGGGCAATATTGGCCCAGTATATACCATGCAATGCCATGTAAGTATAAGGAGATGTTCAATATCTACTGGGGATTTGCAAAGTAGTTTTGATGAAGCTTCACGCTTATGACCGTTTGCATGTTTATATCTCTGTATCAAACGTTATTCTTCAACACTCCTCTTGGTTCCGGTGAAGCTTTACAAAGTTACATGCTAATGCTTCTGAGAGGCATCAGAGTTTACAGCAGGGAAAGGATACAGACATGTTAGCAAGGGATGAGCATTTAATGCAAACACAGGTTTTAAAATGTGGGAACTCAAAATGTGGTCTTGCATTCTGCCCTTAATGGAGCCTGTAAAGCTTTGTAAGTCTCCAGCATAAATCACTCTGCCCTTCCTACTGTGTGTGCTCAGTCCATTAGAGTGCAATGGCAAATGGTTTTATTTGGTAAGAACTTAATATTCCATGACAGCTAATGTGATAGAGAGAATACCAGACAGGGAAGGCAGCCCTTCCAGTTTAGAAGCAGAATCATCTTACCTCTGCAATTAAATGTGGAAAACCAAATTTCCCTGATGGATCCCTCCATTATGTCTCCTCTCCCAAAGAGAGTGTTCAGGCTTTGAGAAACTGCAGATCAATGTCCATTTTTCCAAGAGAGAGAGTTGAAGAAATGGTAGCCCTTGCTGTTTGCTGTAACCCCTGTGCTAAGTGCAGGAATACAATTTTGTAGGTCATTGGAGGCAGGCATATGCTAATGCTCTTCAGTCAGCTTCAATTAGATGTGCAGGTTTAGCCTGTCTTTGGAAAGCTTGTAAAGCTGACCTTAAATCCAGACTGGGGAGCATGTATCAGGTCTCATGGATGTATTCGTACTGTCTGGAGAAAGGATTATTTTGAGCTAAGATAGGTAGATTTGGAAGAGACATCTGTCTCCATGATAGCTAAAATATTAATAGGTGTAAGTTTTAGTATAAAAACATCAGTTTGAGACTCTAGGGTGGCCATGGTATTTTCCTGATTTAAGAAAACAATTTGGTAGAGAGGATGACCCCTCATATTCCTTTGTTGATGGAGTAGCTCATGAGAACATGTCAATCCTCAAACGTACTTTCTGCTCAAGATTTTGCCCAAGAAGGTATTGGGAACTAGCTAATGGTGTGGCAGTCTCTGGAGCTCTGTCATGATCACTAGCAGTGGCCTGAGTTCTCTTGACCTGTCCTAAGAGGTTTGCTTTCCCCAGCCAAACTGTTATGAAATGGCCTTTCTAGCTATTTGGCATTGATACTTCTCTTTTTCCATGTGGTATATTTGCATACATTTTCATTTTTGAATCTCATTAGGTACTCCTCTGGTCTAAGGAAAGCTGTGTTATTGCCAGTAATAACAGCTTCAGTGAAAATGATGGAATAGATCCAGTTCCACTGAAGAGGGACATTTTCAAAGCTCCTTCATAAATTTGAACACTTGACAGTGCTCCTTCATTTAGTAGGCTGGTAGGATTTTGAGGCATGTGATACTGAAATTATATTGTGTAATTCAACAATTTCAAGAATCATCAGGTATAATTAACAACTAAAGCAATTTCAGTCAGTCATGCCTTTAAACTTAGAAATCATAAAAAGGGCTCTGAGTCAGAATCTGCACAAGTCTGCACTTGACTGGAAATGATGGTTTTGTCTGTTTCTGTGTTGATCACCTTTTTGATGGTGTTCTGCTTTAGGTTCACACTGGCTTTTGTTGTTTAAAGAACAATGACTGCTGAGAGTTTCTTTGTGTAAAAATGTAGTAGGCACAATAGTGCCTTTGTACTGCTTAGCAAGCTGTGAGTAGCAGTCCTACCTATAGATACCCCATTAACATGAGTTGTGACTGACTGTGGTGATGTGTGACACAATCTATTTTATGATTTGATATTGGGTAGCCTTAATAACTGAGTTTGCAGACTAGGTCTTCTGGGAAATGAGAAAGATGAGGAGTTGGGTTGACTCAGTGATGTGCTTTGGTTAAATCCTGCACCCAAACAGGGTCATCAATGCATTCTGGATGTCAAAATCATTCAGTACCTAATGGTAGTGAAAAAAAAGGCCAAGATTATAGATCTCTTCTGTGCTTAGAGGTAGGATTTCTTCTAATTGGGAAAGTTTTATGTCCTTCCTGCGGGTGATTCTATGGTCAAAAAATTCTGGACAACACAATTATCATATTTTTGATCATCATCTCCAGCCCATAAGAAATAAAAGAGCTGTAGCTGAAACTTTGCTAATCTATTTTCTTCACACCAGCATTGTCTCAATGGCTGATTAACAACAGAGCTCTGTAAACATGTAACCCTGGTTAGATGTCTACTCTTGATAACGTGTAGCTGTTGTTAGATTTGTCACTTTGGGCACAGGATTAAAAAAACAGCTTAACAGACACAAATTTATGAAGGGCAAAGAAATTGTAGTCAAGAGTCAAGTAAATAAAAATAAACAAAACAACAAAACTAAAACACACAAAAAGACCTAAATGCAACCAAAAAACCCTATTACAGATGTGGAATGGAGTAAAGGATTTATTGTACTGGTGAACAATGGGAGTATCCAGTCTTTGAGGCAGATAATACATTGCTTGTCTTACAATGGTTTTCGTAACTAACACTTTGCTTTGAACAGGAGGGTAAAACAACTGCAATGTAAAACGTGCTCCTTTGGTTCTACACTGTTGTCATGTTTAGGCACTTCTGAGGGAACTCACAGAAATTCCAGGGACAAAGTCTGTATTTCTCTTCTGATTCTGTCAGCCTTTAATAAAGGTGATACACTTTTGAGAACATGAAATGTATAATTGGGATTTTCCTCCATATTTCATTTTCTGAAGGCACAAAATCAGTGTGTATTTGCCCTGTATTTAAGAAAAGACTGCAGCCAGACTTCTGCATCGGGAATATCCTGCTTGTCCTCCATAGAAGTTCAGATCAATCTTTTTCCAGTCTGAAATCCAAATCATAGCTAGGTTCTGAAGTAGTCTTCAGAGTACTGTTATTTTTCCTGGGTATGTTTTCTAAAGAGCCTTAAATATCTCAGAAGCTTCAGGGTTCAGGTTTTTGCTTTATTTTTTATTTTTCTTTCCCCCCCCCCCCCCCCCCTTTTTTTTTTTTTTTAGTGCTAAAGTACCTGAGTATTGACTTAATTTTACNCTTAAATATCTCAGAAGCTTCAGGGTTCAGGTTTTTTTTTTTTTTTTTTTTTTTTTTCCCCCCCCCCCCCCCCTCTTTTTAATGTGCCTAAGTGCTAAAGTACCTGAGTATTGACTTAATTTTACCAGAGTAACCTGCTGCAGTCTACAAGTGGCACGACTGACTGTATCAGTGTAGCTGGTATGGACATAATTTTAGTGCTGACATAATGATTTTTCTAAGTGCACGTATTACTGAAGAGCTCCCTTGGGAAAATGATTATGGCAAAATAAATACCTTTACACTGCTATGACTGTGTATACACAGGTCTAGAATTTAGAAGGTACTTCTTTTGTAATCGTGTCAAGCTATTGCTTGCATCATTTGCTTCTGAAGTGTTTGGGAAAAGCATACTTTAAATAGTTATTTTACCTTAGACAACTTCTCTGTGAGCTGCTCATTGCCTTCAGAGATACTGGTAGCTCTTTCAATGTACACACAGTGTCCAGCACTTAAAAGCTGCTGTGTGATATGCCTGTTCTGGCACTAAGTGCCTTTAAACTTATTTGATGTTTATTATGCTTAGAATTGGAGAGTTTCCTGTCCACTTTTTCCCGACAACTCTTATTCTGCTACAGGCACAGAAGCCTCAGTATAATAGTAATGCACCAGCTTTGGAAGGGATGATTCCAGTTTGCCTTTTCTAAGGGAGAGGCACAAGAAGGAGCAATTTTGTCACTGTTACTAGGCCTGGTTTAATTGTTTTCTTTCTATCCATTTCCTTGAACTGAAGCCTTTTCATTGATTCAATTCAGTCAACCCTTCCAGGAAAAAAATAAACTGAGGTGCCTGCCTGGATGTGGATCTGATGGGTTTTCTGTTTATGGTTACCTACCCTTCAGGAAACATTTCAAGAGGGAATCAATACCGAAGGTGGAGCAAGTTTTATTAGACAGTCAACAGTGACTCTTCTTCATGTAGCTTTGCTGCCAATTAAACTATCAAGGAAGATTAAGCTGTGGGCTGTTTAGTCCTAGGAGAGACATTTCACAAATTGAGAAGATACTGAAATACAGTACTGCAAAAGAGAGGACTCCAAGCTTGTTAGCAACACAAACATGCAAGCCATCACAGCAGACAGTGGAAACCAAGGGTGGGAGGGGGGGGAAGCAGAACTAAAAGTGCATCTGACTGTACTCTATATTTATAATAAGAATATGATTTAGAAAGCTTTATAACTCTTACTGTTATCCTAGCTGCAGTTGGGAATTGCTCCTGAAAAATAATTCCTGAAGGTTTCTGTTGGGACAGCAGGATTCCCTGCTGCATGCTGCTGTGTTGGACAGTAAAAGCAGTTCCTGTTTTCTGAATGTGACTTCACAATTTTTCAATTAAACTAAGCACAGCTCCTGAATTCTTGCAAGGAAACCTGGTTTTTATGTGGATACAAATCCTGCCAAATCCTTGAGGGAGCATACTGTGACGATCTTGTGTGCAATTTCAGGATAAATCCTGGTATTTATTAGAGTAATATCAATGTAATTAAGCAATGGCTAGTTTTAGATAAAAACTTTTATTTTGACCATAGTATGTGATCCTGTCATAGTGCTGTCTGATGGAATTGGAGTAGGGGACAGTTGAACTCAGTCCTTAATATTACTTGATATGTTGATTCCTACTGGGAGATTTTCTTACTGCAGGTATAGGATACAAGCCTCTGACATAATGTAGTGTTTTGTTTTATTGTCAGCAGAGTTCAGGCTAATGTAAAAATCTAAATTATTCAGCTAAGTAATCTCTGACTTATACTGAAATGTCAAGTGCCTCTTATATCAAAGCAGCACCATTGCCCTTATATGAAAGGCTTGTTTACAGATAACTAGTAAGAAAAAAAAAATGAAGAAACTGGAGCAAGAAATAGCTATTTTTCCATGTCCTAATAGGATAGGGGTGAATGAATTGCAAGAACATGTTTACTTTAATGCTTGTCTATTAGTAAGCTCAAAATGCTGCATAGCATCACAAAGCATGTTAGCTAATTTTAGGCTTTCCAGAACTTCAAGAAAATGAGAATCACAGTTTTGTTAACTTCATCAACATGTTCATTTTTTTCAGCTCCATGTTCATGCATGTCTTTTAACCCGGAAACCAGAAGGCTGTCCATAGGTCTAGACAATGGTACAATCTCAGTAAGTACATCCAAAGATTTCTAGTTGAAATGCTTCCTTTTGGAGAAGTATGTGGGTGATGATTTGGTGACAATATTTTTGTCTAGTGTTTGGGAGACAGACTTTTTAATGATAGTGGAACTAAATCAGTAGTACAGAAAATGTTAGATTATTAAAAATTCTATTCCAGCTGTCACAAAGAGATTGAGTGGGGTTTACTGTATTTATTGAGCAAGTCAACAAACTGTCTTAATTTGCATATATTTTAAAAACACCGAAAACCAGCTGTTGTTTTATTAAATTTAAGCGACTTGTTAATTACATGATACCAAAGTTTTCTGAAAGCAGCAATTAAAAGGAGGAAAAATCATCTTTTTAGAGGCATAAGGTGGATTTCTGCTCCATGTCTATTTATTTTTTCAAACTTCAGAGTTCAGATTTTGTTTTCCTCTCCCTTCAGAGGAGTTGCTTCTAATTGGCAGTGAGGTTGCTGAGAGATTTGGTTCATTAATATCCGAGATAGAGATGTGTGGAAAGGAAGTAGGATATTAAAAGAGGAATGTGTTAGATCTATGATAGAGGGTAGCAGTTTACCTTATTAATTGGATTTTTCTTGTGGGATGATGAATAAAAAGCTCTATCCCTTTGGAAGAGTGGAAGAGTCATGGGTCAGAGGTATTTTTCACATAGGCCTCATCAATAGATTCTTCTTCCAGTTTGAGATCAGTTTACCATCACTTTAGATTTTTCTGCTGTTATCTCTGTCTTATGGGCCTTATAACTGAATGAGTGTTTTCAGGGTGACAGGGCAGCTGTCTGCAGTGAAGCCAGTGTGGTGTTTGGAAAAGGGGATGTGACCCCTGTAGCTGTTGCCTGTAAGCTCCATCAAAGATGTGAATGTTTGAACTCTAAAGCTATTAATGCCTAGTAGCAGAGTTTTGTATGCCTGTAGGAGATTTTTCCTTTTGTATCTAGGAGATGGGACAGATTCTAGAGAATTCTCTGCACCTCTGAAATTCTCTCCTTCCCACTCTGAAATAGCTGAAATTTGCTGGTCCTACTAGGCACTTTTGTTTTCACCAGGCCTTTGAGGAATGTGAAGGCAACTGTAAATAAAGTATTTAAATACTCTGGCATGGTGGGAGATGTGTCCTTCATCTTGGGGGCATTTTGTTTTGAAGAGTCAGAGGATGCTTCAGAGTAAATGGGGTCAAATATTTTCCATTCTGAAGCTAAAAAAGTTAAATGAGATATGCAGGTGATAAACCTACACATGACTTTGGATATTTATAGGGTTATATTGCCACATCTAAGGCTGATTCTATTTATTGCTAAGCTGGGTTTTTCTTTTCCCAGCCTTCTGGATACAAGTATATAGAAGTGCTTGTCTGTGTGGCTTGATTTAGTCTTCTGTAAGCTGCAAGCACTTGTGTGGTAGGGAAAAAACACTCTCCACAAATTTGTGCAAAGAATGAAATGTTTTCATCTGTACCAAACCTACGACTTACAAGTAAGAGTAGCCACAACTGTAATGTGCTGCAAGAAGTGGTGGAGCTGGGAATGGATGAGCAAGGGGAGCCCTGCTTTCAAATCCCAGAAATACTGGGGTGTAGAGAGCACCCCCAGGTACCTGAATGTGGGTTACAACCACTCTCTTGAGGAATGGATAAATTTTCTTTCCTGGGCCCAGCCATGATGATTAGTTTAGCATAGGAATACATAAGTAGGGCACATTGACCACAAAATAAGAGAACTTACTGCAGCAAGGTGACCTTAGTACCCTTATTTTAATTTCCTCAAAGGGAAAGTACAGGCAATTTGCTTGAGCAGCTTGAAATATTTGGGAATTAGTCAGCTGCTCCACATTAGCACTTCTGTAGTGCCCAGCACACTTGTGTATGCTGGGTGCAGGGCCAAACAAAAAACCATCCAACCATACCAATACAACCTTGACAATTATTCTGTATCTTCACTTTGGCTAAAAAGAAAGAATTCCTGGTAAGGGCTGTGAGCTAATAGCCATGAGGGTGACACGTGATCTTAAATGTTTTGGGTTTTTTTTACAGTGCAAGGAAGTGCTTTCAGTTGTAAATGGAGATAAGGAAGTGGGACTGCCTTTTTTTTATTCTATGTGAAATTTTTGTAAGCTGTATGGATTTTGTTATAAGTGTGGCACCTCAGGAATGCATATTCTGCATTTTGAGAAGGACGGGCAGCACTGTTGGCACAGAAAGAAGTTCCAGCAAAGTCACCTGAGGTGACCTTGTATGGCCACCTCTTTTGTGAAACAAAAAGGCAGTAAGTTCTGTTTCTACCGAGAAGAAGAGATTGTTTTTAACCTTTTGTCACTTCTCAGCATGAGAGCTGCACAAACATTTGTACACCATTATCTCGGGTAAAGATTGTCTAGCACCTTGTTTGAAGAGTGGTGGCACCTAATGTAAAAAACCCAAACTTTCTGTGATCTGCTTTTTTACAGTTGGCAAACCTTTTTTTGAGAAGAAATGACATCTTAGGAACTGTTTGAAATCCCTTTTGGAAGCCAGAAGACCTTATCCAGGACATAAATTTCTTGCTCAGAACTGGAAAAAATATACTTTAATGGCTGCAAGGCTCTTAAGATAGCACAAGAAACAGAAGAAGGGTCTTCCCCTTGCAATAAAAAGGAGACTTCCTCTGCCAAGATGAGAATTCTTGCCTCTTTCATCCATATGAGAACTCATTTCCTAGATAAAGTTAAGCATCAGGTTCTGCAGCCAACAAAGGAGAGATTGTCTTTGGATGTACCCATGTTAGTTTTTCTAGGAACTGTTATGAAATGGCATAAATTTCTTTCTTCATTTTTGGGGAGATTGAAATGAGAGATTTAGTTTTTTAGGTAGCTGAAGATTAATTAAATGTGGATTTTTTTGCTGACCATTCCTAAGTCTGTATGAAGCTATTGCATACTTTGAGCAGAGCCATAAGGGACAGCAGGGCACCAGAATAATCCCTTCAGAATTTGTCCTTGGAGATGATACTTATTAAGATAAATTCATCTTCCACCTCATCTGATCATGCAGCTGTCTACAAGTTTGAGCATTTAACAGTATTTTGAATACCTGAGACTGAATCAGGCACTAGCTGTTGATGTACAACCTACCCCTCTGCTGTTGTGGGGAGTTTAGTATTTTTTACCTGAGGAAATGAAATGAAATTATATAATAAATAAAGTGAAAGTGCTGTCATTATTTATAGAGGCTTGTTTTTTTTTCCCCAGCAGATATAGATGTAGTGTCTGACAGAAGATTTAAGAATTTTCATTCTCTTCCATTTCTGAAGCAGGTTTTTTTGTTCTCTGGAAGATCTGAGAGTGCAGTCAGTCACTCATGTTAACAGGATAAAGTCAAGCCTATAAGGAGATACTTAGTGTGTTGTCAAAATGGCATCATCTATCAAAGAGCAGACTGTAAGTTCCCCAGGGTGGGAACTAGCTGTGCATGGGTAACACATAACTAACATATAAAGATTATTAACTCAGAAATTGATTCAGTTGCTTAAGGAGAGTTCTCCATTTTGCAGTACATCAGTCAGCATATACCTGAAGCTCTGGGAAAGCATGGATCTTCCTTAGTTCCTGGGCCATGTCACCCAGCCCCATGGCCAAGGACTCTGAATTATTTAAACAAGATGCTGATACTATTTCTAGGATGTTTACAGAAGTCTTTGTCTCCAGAGAAGTTTGTGGTGGGTGTATGTGTTTCAGCGTGAGGGAGGTGTGCTGCACAAAGGAATAGTTGTGAGTCTTTGTGCATCAGTGGACAGCTAGATTTTGACAGTCTTCAAGAATTCTCCTTTGTGCTTTGTGAAAACTTTCATGATACCAAATTGCTGTTGCAATAATAAGCTCACCTGAAACAGGAAAGACTGAGCATTAACATTTTAAGTATGACAAAAAAGTAGTAAAGTAGCTCCAAAACCATCTCTGAAGGCTAAAGAGTGATCTTGCCAGAAAAGTTGCTTTTAATCCCTGCAAGGAAAGTGTTTGGTTTTACCATCCTGAGTGCTCTGATGTTCCCAACCCCTCCTGTGCAAAAGGGCTGCACAGGACTCAGAGGTCTTTCTCTGCTCTGTTAACAAGCACTGCCTGAGCTGTGTAGGTGACCCCAGCTTTTCCAGCTCATTAAGAAGAGCCAGAAGCTGCCTAATGAGAACTGGGTGTCAGCAGCTCTGAGAGGAGCAAAACATCTACGTAGGCAAGGATAAAAAACCAGCTTCTGCTGGTACAATGTTAAAGAGATGTAGTCGGTGCTTTTGTAGTGCAGATGACACATTTTATGTGCAATAGGGCATGAATTTCTTGAGCAAGGTGCCCTGTGCTAAAATACCGGTCTAGTGACACAACTAATGCATTTGGCCTGAAGAGGGAGAGGGCAATAAGTGCAATGGAAAAACACAAGAGATTGTAAAGGGGAGCGGGGAAACCTGCAGAGAGATTAGAAAATGCATCACAAATTATCATGTGCTTTCAAAGAAGAAAATTATATGCAAGAAGTCTTTGGGGGAAAGAAATATTTAGATTAACTGAAACTGTGTTTATCTTGTACTATATTTATCTTTATTTTGGATGGAGCAGTATATTGATAGTACATAGCTGTGGTTTATATTAAAGAATACAGTGGTAATCAATACTAGGATACACCTTACAAACTGCACATGTTTGATTTATTATATTATAATGGAGATATTCAAAAGTCTTTTCAGTCTTCTAATGAAACTGTGGGGCTCTTTGGATCATAAAACAGAATAGCAACATCAAATTTGTTGAGAGAAAAATGCAAATAAAAGTGAGAATGCAATCCACTCTCTACATCCCACCTGAAGTCACCAGCATCTGTGTGCCACTGCAGTCAGAGACAAGGACAGCCAAATTAGTGGGAAAGGCAGACATACCTTCCCATCAAGTGTTGCAGCAATTAGAGCAATTTCTCTTTAGGTAACAGTAGCAGAAAGTTAGCATTCTAGCAAAGGGTCCTGCTTCAAATAGGCTTTGTAGTGAAGCACTTTATGCAGTGATATAGCATTCTTCAGGCCGTGGTTAAGGAAAACAAGTTCCCCTGTTAGTACCTGGAAGGGTTTAGCAGATTTTAAACTTTCTGTGGTTTGTAGAGCTAGGATGACCCTGGTATAGAAATCCAGCTGACTTAGTTTATTTGTTACTGCTGTTGAAGTAACACTCCCCACTGTAGTCCTCAGCTGCCAGAGAAACCTCCTGGGAGCTGGAGCAGATTAAGGAAAGAAAGATAAAGTAGAGCAATTTAAGAGAATGTATTTGTAACAACTTTGTGAACAGAAACCTAGAGAGAGCAGAATACATAGCTGCCTCAAGTCACTCACAGTTGTTTTTCTGGAAGCTGGGATCTGTAGATGTGCCACAGATGAGTACTGTAAGCTCTCCACCTTGGTGCCAAGCAGTAGATGTGATGTGTTTGAATAATTCTGGTGCTGAAGGCCAGGCAGATTACCTGCAGTGACCCAACAGAAAATGCAGAGTGACTCCTTTTTAAATTGTACTTTGGAAGCTGGGGGAAATACTGGCTTGTTGGGGGTTAGAATGCCCTTTGCCCTTTAGCATTAAGCATTTGGTTATATTTGGCTGTTGATCAATTTGGTTTGCCTTAAACATGGTGTGTAGACTTCTGAAGTCCAGTTTTCTCTAGTGCTTTTGGCATGTGCACAAGAACATTTCACAATGATATGTTTATCAAATTAACTTATTTTGTGTTTCTAATGTTTATTTTAGTTTTCCAAACTATTTCAGGTTAAATGAGTTAGGTTTTACTTCTTATGTCCTCTAGGCAGATTAGCACAGGGAGTTTCTGTGTATCTTGCTATAAATTATTAAATTGATGTGGTTTTACACTCCCTCATTTTTTACTTTGTGTTTCTTTAAATATGTGATGCATGTACATAGATACCTGACAGCTCTCTGAAAGCTACTTCATTCAGTGCTGCTACCCTTTGCTTGAGTGTTTCCTCCAGAGAGATGTTACAATGGTAGTGGCCATTCTGTTTCCCCAGTTCTGAGTAACTCTCCTCTTCAAAACAATCTGCAGGAGCACCTGGGTGGTCAGTGAGTTTAACCACCTGGGGTTTTTTCAGGAGCTGAGGCTGCCATGCAGACTCTTAGCTGCCATGCTCAACATTTTTTCATGCAAAAGCCATATTTGAAGTTGAACAGCAGCACCAAGACAATGGAGCCCGTCCCTATAGGTGTGCTTTTGCCTGGACACAGACAAGTTTGGGTTTCTGTTTGTCTGAAGCACTGAGAGTCTTTTTAACAGAAACCTGAAATGCATTCCATTCCTGTCATGTATTGTTGGTACCTAGCCTGGACTGAGCAATTTGGAGGGTCTCTTACATATTTATATTGCATTTCCTGAGTGTTCAGGTTGGTGTAGTTAGTGCATGCACACACATGGATACACGTGTATATGCAAACGTACATGTGGGCACACACAGCTGCGCACACGTGCAGCTTTGTGCCCAGGCAGTCCTGAGCAGCAGGTGTTCACCAGGTCTCAGATTCCTTATTTTGTGGCACCTCAGCTCACAGCCAGTCATTTCTGTCAGCTTTTTTGACTTCTTTTTAATAGTTCCTCTTTTATCCATTCCATTCAGAAGCACTCATAATATTGTCCTAGGCAGCTTTAAAAGGTGAAACACTTCAGAGGTTTAGGTACTCAAAATTATTAAAAGTATAGATAGGTCTGTGGTTCTAAAGAAGGGAGAGTTTACCTAGGCAGAGTAGTCAAATGTAAAGAGTCTCAAATACTTTATGTCTCTAAGCCCTGTTTGTTTTGTTTTTTCTTTCCCTCCCTCAGGAATTCATTTTATCAGAAGATTACAACAAGATGACACTAGTGAAAAGTTATCAGGGTAAGAACCATGATCCATGTTAATTGGTTTGTATTGTCATTACTTTTTGTTAATGTTTTCTTAAGGAGTATGAATGGAAAACTTCCCTTTACAATGATAGATCTTTTGAAACTAATATAAATCCTGGTTTTATCAATAGATCTATAATGTGTTTTGTTTCGAGATTACAAGATTTTTAAAAGAGCTGTTTCATGTTTTGTTTTTCCTTTTAAATATTCCTTTGGAATATGGCAGTAGATAGCAAATCATCCACATTTGAGGAATAGGAGTTTTAATTTTCAATCTTCAGTAATCCAGTGTATCTACTGAAACAACTTAGGTAACTAACCCATCTCTTAAGGCTGAAGCTTTTGGGTTTAATTTGGTTATATTTCAGTAACTGTCAGTTCTATTAACCACAAGATTATCAATGAATACCTCTCCTAGTAAAAGGTCAAGAAATGCCAGTCCATACCTTTTCTAATTAGAGTCTGGTGTTCACTAATGTTATTTTTTCAGAAACCTAGCTATTTGTCCTATATCCTCATATATCCTATATCCAATGCATCTTCCTCAATGGTCCAGTAGGACTCCCTCCACAATTCTATCCCTGCAGTGCACCTTTCTCACATGGCCATACAAAGTTTTGGGGTTGGTATAAGCATCTTGGTAAAACCCTGGGCAAGGAAAAATTAAAATTAAAAAGGAACAGGTGGTTTTGTTGGGTATGGTGACCTTCTAGTGGTTCATTTGCTAAAAGTCTTACTTTGAAAAAGTTCTGCTTAAAGTTTTCAAATAAGACCTTTATGTTCTTCAAAAGTATTTTAGGGGAAGTAAGTACTTTTATTTAGCCTACAAAGTGGTTAAATAGTGATAGTAAATGGCTTTAGCTGAATCATGCTGGCTGGTTTTTTGTTTGCTAGCCTTGTAAATGGTCAACAGTGCTCTTGTGCAGTGACTGGTGGGCTGTTGATCATCTCCCATAGTAAGGCATTATTATAAATAGCTGAGGCTGCTGTAGTGATTAAAGAACATTTATTGTGTCTTTAAAGGCCATGAATGTGTTGGCTAAATGATCCTCTGTGACATGGAATGACAGCACATGGATAGGCTGTGCTTTGGTCTTGGTTGGGGTGTACGGCCAGGTCTGGTGGCTTATGGAGCCTGGCCTTGGCAGTGTACGTGGCTGGACATGTTCTGTGGAGGTTTTGCTGCAACAGTGTGTCTGGAGTTGTGAAATCTTATTTCTTGAAAGAGATTTCAATGCAAAGATGGGGGATGTGACACAGGATTAGTCAGGACTCCAGGATGGGTCTTGTGGCATTGGCCTCCTGCAGGCACTGACTCATTCCCTTGCATAATGAGGAGTAGTACAAGCGTTTGATCAGTGCCATTTGGGATGCCCTGGGAAATTAATTTCTTTCATTGTGTGTCTGTCTCTCATATCATCATCCTATCTTCTTCGGTCACAGTACCAGGTGAAAGTGTGCTCTCTTCCTGGGCAACTCCTGCATTCCTCCAAGAAACCTTTCCTTCCCCTCAGCAGCCTTGGATTCCAGCCCCTCACAAGCTGGTCCATATGGCTGTTGATATTTCCCATTCTTTTTGGCATTCTGTACCCTGCTTCTTGCAACTGGACCATCTTGCCATGCTCCCTCTGGATGAGATAACAGCTCCTGGTTTAGTGTTTTATTTAATTTACTTTTTTTTATTATTATTATGTATTTATTTATTTGACACACACTTTTTCTGCCTTGCCAGATTTGTAGACCTGCTTCTGCCCCATGCTTTGTGCAGCCTGCCTGTTTCAAGGGCGTCTCTCTGGCCCTCTGCTTTCAGGCTAGCTCATGTCATGCCCTTACTTCTGCTTTCTCCTAAGCACAGCCTCTTCACTTGTGCTTTTCTTGCTCATGCTAAGCTTTTTTTCTTCCTGGCAATTTCCACCTCTGTCTTGGTGTTTGCTCATACTTTTTACTGTTATAACCTCTCAGAACAGCTTCTTTCCCAGCATTGTGTGGTTGTGCACTGGCCATGCTTCTCAGACTTGCCTTTATGCACAGGACTGACCCTCCATTTCATTTGCTGACATCTTGCTATGCACCTCCTGGCTGCTGCTTCTTTTCTCTGGGCACAGCCTCTCCATCCTCTCTCCAACCTGCTCTCCGCATAGTGCTTGCTCCTGCTTTCTCATAGAGGAGAGCAGTCACCCTGCTTCCTCTGCCCTCCAGCTGCACATGGACCTGTGCCCTTCTTTCTGCTGCTTCTCTCCCTTCTACACCACATAATTTTTCCCCACAAATGGCTGTCTTCTCATTCTGGCTCACACTGCTCTTGCCTGGTGCCTGTTGGGAATTTTCCTGTGCTGTGATCACATTCACACTCCATCCCCCATTTCCATCCTGCTGTTGTTGCAAATGAACAGCTTTGGAATTGTTTGCTCCACATATTTTCTGCATACAAATAAATGGTGAGCAAATCTTCAATACATGAAGGGCCAGCTTTTTGTTTGCTGCTTCAAGACTCTGAACCTGTGCTAATCCTAGGGCCCAGACCCCTTCCATACTCTTCTATCAGCTTCCAATCTTCTGATATTTTGCTTCTTTAAGCCTTACATGAGTCAAATTCCCTCTTAATGACAAGTGACTTTCTATTTGCATTTGTCTTCTCTTTGCTCCTTTATTTAGATGATCTACACTGTGCACTTTCACTTGTTTGAGATATATCTGCCATCAGTGCATGTGTGTGGTCCACCAGCTAATATGTGCAGGTGGACAACAGAGTGATAAATTGAAAGCTCTTTTTGGGAAGGGAGGATAAGCAAAGCTGTCATGTACACCCCATTCATCTCTTGGCAAGTACCATTTTTTCATGTCTAGTCCTTACTTGCCAGAAAGAGCTGCCTCAGCATCCACAGGCAGTACTTCTATCAAAAATTACAAGCCTCATCTTTTAGAAGTTTTAGGAAGCAGAAGGAGATTAGGAGAGTTGGGTGATGCCAGCTATCCTCACAACCAATTCAAACCATAAAAAGCTGTTGCTAGCAGTAGCTAGCAACATGCTGAGAAAACATTCCTGGACAGGCCTTGAGCGCTCTGATCTCAGCCAGCTTTTCCCATCCCATGGAAATGCATCAGTGTGTCTGGCATTGATGGTTCACACAAGCTCCTGGAACACTTGTGAGCCCATGAGGTGCCTGTGGCAGCAGTTATGTCCCTCTCCAAGTGCAGCACTCCACTGGCTGGTGCAGGTGTTCCCAGAGAGAGCAACACATGGGTAAAGATAAGCATGAGCCACCCAGGGGGCCACTGAATTTCTTCCCAGAGAAAGCAAGGGTAAAGAGGAGATGGGATCTATTTGAAATAGTTCAAGTGACTCCTGCATGGTCCCCATCCTTTTATCTGGAATGTAAAAATATGTGGAAATTATAGCCAAAATCTGAGGTCTTCTAATGGGCAAGGATCAAAGCATCTGGGCACAGTTCACACCTGACACTTTGGTTTAGCTGCCAATCACCATTATGGCAAGCTGTGTCAATACATCTATTGACTTTTCTGCTCAGGGAATCTCCCTCTGAAAAACAAGTGTGGACCAGGGCTGGTATTGGCTCTTGGGAGCCTCCTCTTCTTTCCTACAGGTAGTTCTCCCTTGTGGGGTTTGAACACAGCTCTTATATATGCTGCATATTCGTATAGGGCAGACAGCAATCTCCCTGTACTGATCTGAGGTGATTCTCTGCATTTCAAATGGAGGCTTGGGGATGGTTTTTAAGCTTCTAAACATATTCAATCTATTTTTGTGTCAGCTTTTACACAAACAAATACAAGCAGTCTGTTTTGTGTGACACATGTTGCTTTGTTTTAGAACAGTAATCAATAAACCAGCAGGGCTATACATTGAGGAGTATGGCATTCACCATTAAGTTACAGCTGGCAATAGTTCTGTATGTCTTTCCAGCCACTTGTTTTATTAGAATATCAGCTCAATCAGCACTTCATGGTCATGACCAAGCCCACTGGTCATTCATAGAAAAAATAGCATGTGTTCCCTTGTTTTAGTAAGACTTTTTTATGGTTTTATTTTGGTAGCAGTAGAAACTTATTTCTTCAGCTGTTTTATGCATCTACCACACCTGTGATATTTTCTTTTATTTAAAATTTATTCCAGTAACCTATTAATGCTGAAACTTCCCTTTGGTGCAGCATTGTGCCTGTGCTGTAACTTAGTGTTCTGTTGGGGTACCACAGCCCAGATCCATCAAAACTGTACAGCAAGAGGAGCAGCAGTGTAGGCATTTTCACTGCTGTCAAAAAACTAGCTCAAAAGAGATTTAAATGGAACCCCAAGTCCAATCCACAGTGGTAGCTTTGTTAGTGATGATACAATGATGGAGGGAAAACTTGTGGTGTTGTAGAAGATAAATACCTGCAATAGGCATGGAAGGAGTTAAGTCTTGCTTCCTTTCTTTCTCATGCAAGCACTGAACATGCAGAGCAGGGACCCTACAAGCTTCCATGGGAGCTGATGTCAACAGGATTATTAAACACCAGCTGCTTCTGTGGGGAAGTGTGAGTGGAGGAGTTGGGTGCAGTTGGTATTTGCAATGGTTGTCTGCCCCCATGTTCTTTGCAATGTGATTATACATCTGTCTGCTTAACTTTCAGCTCATCAAAGCAGGGTCATCATGATTCTGTTTGTCCTGGAGATGGAGTGGGTGTTGAGCACCGGGCAAGACAAGCACTTCACGTGGCACTGTTCGGAGAGCGGCCAGCGGCTGGGGGGGTACCGCACCAGCGCGGGCGCCTGCGGCCTGCAGTATCCTCTGCTGAGCTCTCAGTTCTATTTCTGCTCTTTGGCACCCAAACAGCCCTTTAGTTTATTTGTCTAGTTGTCCTCCAAATTTTGTGCCCTGTATGGATTCAGTGCTTTGTGAGAGAAACTGTTATTTAAAGCCAATTTAAAAAACTGTCAGTTCTCCTTGCTTCGTCTCCTTAATGCGTTGTGGCATATTTAGGTCTAAGCATTTTTGAGCACCACAATGGGCAATCTGCAACCTATTGTGGTCAGCTATTGTAATAAATATGGATAGGGTCTTCATTTAAACATGCAGTGCATGCTTTCTTCAGAGGATTAATGGTAGCAAAAGTAGATTGGTGATCAGGTAAGAGTGCCTGTGTGTATGCATGGTAAAAATTAAATTACTTTAATAAAAAATAATGAGCACTTGTCCTTCACTCTGGAACTGCTCACTATGTATTGGGAATTTGGGTTAACTAAAGAGTAAATTACTCCAGAAATGGCACTCAGGTGGCTTATTCACGTAGAGCTGCCCCAGCTGCCTGACAATAAGAGAAATATTAATTCAGCTTTATTGCAAATGAAAAGGGAAATGGAAAAGTATGAGCTCTTAGGCTGAAAACAGGGGTTAGCATAAACAGACTTTTTAATGCCCCAGAGTGTATGTGGTATAGGTGATGCATGTTTTGCTAATTCATGAGGAGTAATACTGACTGAAAATTATTGTTTCAAGATGGACTTGCTTTATATGATCTGGTAATTCAGCCAATCTAAATGGCAAAAAGACTGAACTTACTTTCTAATTTATTGATAAATATTTTTGAAAGCAAGATGCAAGAATTTGCCTTGTGTTCCCTAAATCTCACTGGAGAATGGCCAATTTTGACTGCTTAAAGTTCTGGAGGACAATTTAATTTGGGCCATCTGGTTATGATGGTGGAGGGCAATGGAAGCAGTGGAAGGCAGAATCATTGGTAAATACTGCAAAAATATTTGGCATAACCAGGAAGAGGTTTGGGTTTTTTTGTTCTGCAGTGTCACGTGTACTTAAAATCAGTACTCCTTTGTATTTTGTATAATTTTGGGTAGGGAGAGAATGAATACCATCCAACTCTAGCGCTTGAGTTACAAAGCCTGAGGGGACACTTATGCTCATGGCAAAGGGCTACTTCAATGGTGTTTCATAACAAAACCACGAATTGTGTCCTAGAATAGTCTTGTTTTTTTCTCACCCAGGGGTACTGCACTATTAGTATGAACAGGTATGAGCATTATTAAGATGAACAGGTGCCTGCAAGTACTCTCTGAATACCTCCTTGAGATTGGAGCACTATTCACAAGATTGCAGTATACTCATGTCAAAAGAATTAGCAAACCATGAAAAGAATGCAAAGCTCGTGTGAATAATATGTTTTCCTCAGCATCTATCCTTCAGATTTGATGTAGAAACTCGGCACGTGTTTGTTGGTGACCATTCTGGGCAAGTGACCATCCTCAAACTAGAGCAAGAATCTTGCAGCCTTGTCACCACATTTAAAGGACACACAGGTAAGGCCTCAGGAGGAGACCCAGAAAGGTGCTCAGGAGGGTCTTCATTTGTGCTTAGCATCATGATGTTTTGACTGTCCTGTGATACACTAGGAAGGCTTGTGTCAGTGCTTAGCATGGAAGGGACATAGCTCTTGAACTGTCTCAGCAGTTTAGGGAAGCTGTATTGGTAAAAACAATAGTGATCAGAGCTCTGAGAAGAACACATCTGTGTCAGAAAATGCCACAATCAGTAGCTGCTAATTAAAGCAGAGTGAGACTTGAACAAGTTGTGGTAGTTCTGGGAGGGAGAAAGGATGCTGCTAAAGGCAAGGTTTGTATTGGCAGACACTTCATCCCAAGTGGACTAGGCACAGCTTGGAGGCACTAAATGCTTGTTTCACTGCTGGGACTTGTGCTGCATCACCCTTTGAAAAGAGCAACCCTGGGCATGAGCCTACCATCTAACAGAAGAAATGCTGTCATTCCTCAGCATTTTTATTTCATAGCCCTCCTCTCTTAAGTGCTAATAGCTCAAGATAGCACAATGTAGTTCAGTCCTTGTGCTAGGGTACTGAGAAGATGTCCATAGCATTCCACACTTGCTTCTTTTTTAATCCTCTGGAAATTATGGAGGTGGAAAATTGTGTAGCTCCCACTGTGACCATTCTTCTTCCACACTTTACTGCTTAATGGATTCTCCTGTGCAAATGGCAGTGAAGCCCTGTGCCCACAGAAGAGCAGAATGGGGTTTCAGTAGTTTTTCTAGAATGTTATTTTTCCACTGGAAGGCACATGGTTGCATAGTCTTTGCCAAACAGATATGCATTTTAATCACTCCATATTTTTTATTATATCTTTATATTTAGCTACCTTCCAATCTTCCACTTCCTGAAATAAAATGACTGTGTGTGTGTTCCTATTGCAGGTGGTGTCACTGCTCTCTGCTGGGACCCAATACAGCGAGTTTTATTCTCAGGCAGTTCTGATCATTCCATTATAATGTGGGATATTGGAGGAAGAAAAGGAACAGCCATCGAGCTGCAAGGACATAAGTATGTTCAAAGCCCTTCCTCCTGCTAAATAGGAGAAAAGCTAAATGCAGAACCCACATCTGGAAACAAACAGCCCAAATGTTACAGTCTTCACAAGCCTCAAGCTTGTATGTGTGACTCCCTGTGGTCTGTATACAGCAGGAATAATTTGCTTATAGTAAGTTTTCTAGTGTGGGGGCCCACAGGCTATTTTGAGTCTGCAGAGTGTGGTGAAGGAAAGCACAACATCTGTAGTCCTGAAGGTGTTATGCCAGAGCCTGTGCCTTTGTTGGAAAAAGGAGGCTCCTCAAATGAGCAGCTGCAGGGAAATTCTTGAGTTTTAGGTGTCAAGGTCTTTCCTTCCCCTAGAGGGAGCATCGGGATTAGACAATTAATCCCCTTTTCCTCCGTGCTCTTTCACCTACAGCCTGAATTCGAAGTGATGTGCTTTTACCTTTAACTATAGCAGCCTTCACATCTCAGTGCAAAGAGGCATCATCTTTGCAAGTACATTTGCATAGCCATAGATGTCTTTGAAGATGGGTGAGCCCGTGCTGGGCATTGATTATACATCAGAATGGCTCTAGTAGCAATGACTCCTCACCTTTTAACTCTGGCAATACAACAAGTTGGTTTTAGAATACTGGGGCTACATACATGTGGGACTTGCACGCCAGGCTCAGGTCTGGAGATACAAAATCCCGTGGTGGTTGTGAGCTAACAGCTTCTTACATATTCATGCATTTCTTTTGAGTGATGATGCACTCTGCTGAGTGATTGGGATGCCTCTGGGATTTCAGAACACTGCAGAGCTCTAACTGAAATTACCAGATCAACCTCATACCCTACCAGTGGTGCTTGCTAATGCATCACTACTTGATTTATTGCTGTGGAAATTAGTTCTAATATGAAATTAGCCTCTGGACCTTAATCTGTGAGATGGCTGTCAGCTGGTACTGTACAACACAGCATCCTACACATCCTGATGGTGCCTCTGGTGTATGCAGGCAGGCATTGTGAAGGGTGGCACTGTTGTCCTGAACTCTCCTATGAATGCATTCCTCTCTTCAGGTTCAGCCATAGACACAAATAAATGTGTTAGCATGCAAGTCCTTTTGGCAGACAAGACCAGTGGTGGTAGCAAAGGAAACCAAATCTTGGGATGATTTCTAGTCACAGTATGTTCAGTTCCTATGTCTTCACAACCTTGTTTTTTCCATGACAGTGTTGTACAGTCTTTGTTTCCCAGGTTGTAAACAGCCTGAGATGAGGCCTGAATTTCTTTCTATTAGCAAGGACTGAGCCCATCTTTGGGGGTTTAAGCTGAATTGTTCCTCCCATGTTGTTTTTTTCATTAAAAGAAGGAATAGAAACACCTAAATTGTCCACCTTACTGTGAGAAGGCTTAACAACAATTTAGTGTCATTTCTACATTATTTTTCAAACTCCTTATGCTTGTTAGTGTAAAAATAAAATCTTCAGTAGTTTTTCAGTGATTCATTTCTAGATGTTGCAGAGATCTACAAAACAAAGTTGTTACCAACATTCTGCCAAGAAGATATCTTACTGGGGCTGCATTTAAGCATCCAAATGTGTCTTCAGAAACTGCAACCCTGTTGAGGCTTCCCAGTGCAGCTGGGACCTCCTATCCCAAGAACAGCAAAAACAGTTATCAGAACAGGTGTTTGCTTTTGTGGATGCTGCCCAGATGAGCAAAACACTCATTCTGGTCCCAGTCTGACAGCAAAAACTGATTTGCATCTGATGGATGCCATGTGCAATGAGTGGTGGAGGGAAACATATGGGCAAACCAATGGTTTGTACTGCTTTATTGATGTTCTGTGCTCACTTGTGCAGTAGCCATAGGTGGTTGATTGCTAACTGTCTTGTTTCTTTCTCAGTGATAAAGTTCAGTCTCTCTCCTATGCTCACCACACTCGGCAGCTCATCTCCTGTGGTGCAGACGGGGGAATCGTCGTCTGGAACATGGATGTTGAGAGGCAGGAGGTAGATGCTTAGTTCTTGTCAATTTGGTCTGAAGCAGTCCTGGGAAGAAGGGGCCTTTCTAAAATGTGCAGCTTTCAACCTAAACAAGATCATTGCAAGCTTTAAAAACATTTCTGGACATGCTCCAGTTGTTATGCAGCAATTATGTCGTGCCTTTGATAATATGGTACAGGGGAAATCGGCTGGCAGAAATTTGTATTAAATAGGCTGCTAAATGGCTCTTGCACATTACATTACTGCTCTGAAAGATATTCTGTAATGAGGCGATTGAGATGCTCTGCTGTATTTTTCAGCACATCATGAGAAATATCAGTTCAGATGTAAATTAATGGATTGCTTGATTAATTTTGGTTTTAAAAAAGTAAAACAAGAAGACTCTTGGTCATCTCTGGAGAAATGCAATGCAGCATTTCTTTTCCTTGATAAGAGGACATAAGGGTTCAATCTCACCTGTTACTTGGTCTTGATGTAACCACATAGAAGTGGGGTAAATTACGGCTGTACTGATCCAGACTAAGATTTCATCCACACATTCCTAATTGCTTTTGGGCTTCATGGCCAACAAATGTGAACAGGTGCAAAAACACTCCCAGGTCTTTGGCACTGTGGGAGCAGCCCCCACTTGGCAATTTCTGAATCCTGACTCAGAGAGGGGGGAGCAAGCTGTCTGCTGGCTGAGTCAGGCACCAGCCCTGCCCAGGAGCTTGGCAAATCCTGGTGCCATGAGTCACAGCAAACCTGTGCCCTCTTCCTGCAGGGGTAGGTCAGAGGAAGCTTTTGGCAGCATGGGCTTTCACCAGCTTTGCTGGTCCTCAGCAGTTGGCCTGCATGGATTGAGTGTATCTCCCTTGAGGAAGAAAAAAACGCTAAGTGGAAAACTTGATTAAAAAAAAAATACTGAAGTAGGTATAGGCAGAAACTAAGCTCCCTTTTTAATGTGACTTGGCATTCCAGTTGACTCTTTTTAATTGCTAATCCAGGGGCCAAGTATGTCATCAGCTCCTAAACTGAAACGAAAGCAGAGCAGTTTCCTCCTTCCCAACAGATGTTTCCTTTTTGCTGCAATTCAAACATCCAGAAATGAAAACCTGGATTTATTTGCTGCCTTCAAAAGGCTACAGTAAGGGTTAAGATTGGCTTGTCACCAAATAGGCAGGAATGCTGTGAGAAAGCTGGTTTAAAATATAGAGGAGGAATATTATTAGCTAAATAAAGGCCAAGCAGCAGGTGCTAATGGTGCACAGCTTTCCCAGACTATGGCTATGTGGGCTTGTTCTTGTTATCAGCAGCACAACAGGGTGTTCTTGGTGCTAAACCATTCCCAAAACATGAATCTTTGAGATTTTAATATCAAACCTTGGTTTTGGGTCCTAAATCACTTTCTTTTGGATTTTGGCTTTTGTATCTTTGCCCTTATTGAAGGATTTCCTCCATGTGATATATGCTCAGTACTCATTTTGTTACTATCAGCCTTTCCCACATTACTGAGATTGTGTTAGAGTCATTTAAGCCATTTTAACCCTTGATTCTTTATTTTCAACTCAATTTTTAAAAAGCTGCAAGAAGAAGTTTGAAAGATGTTATAAGCTGTTTCTCTGTTAGACTACGAAGTGGTTACTTGTCACAAACAAAATGTTATCTTCATCTGTAGTGTTCAAATGCCCAAGAGATGGAAAGTTATACACAGATATGTAAATCTGTAGGCATTAAAAAGAAACACTTTTGTGGGTAGAAAATGCAAGGCTTTTCCCCAGCAGAATGAACTGCCTTCAGAATAACTGGCAGAAGAATATGAAGCAGGTGATTGCTTTATTGCTGGGAGTCAAAGCTATTCTGAGAGCTGAGGATCTCAATCCGTCCTTAACTTTGCCTGGCTTTTCTGTTGTTTTTTGTTCTTAATCTCGGCTGTGTTTCTTGCCATTTTAATTTGCAGCATGTGAGAAACCAGTGGCTCTGGCAAGACAACTGCAGTTTGCTAATAGCACTTCTTCACAAAGTATTAAACAATACTTTTGTGTTTATTTAACCTCATAGGTTGATGAGGGAAAGAGCTTGGGTTTGGTTTGGGTCTTAGGCTTGTTCAGGTGAATCATATCTTTCTCATCTCTGTGTGCGATTTGTAGCATAGGCACTTCTGACAGCACCTCTTAAGCTGTTAAAGAAAGAGAGAGTACAAAAACCCCCAACAACATCAGTATATCCCATAACTTCCTTTCCCTTCAGATGATTTGCTTGGCTACTGGAAATACTAATTGACCCCAGATCCCACCAGAGGCAATAGAAGATGGTAAACGCTATCCAGACAGGACAGAACAAAATATTTTTATAGAGAATTGGGTTGTTTCTGTGGTCTTATTGTCAAACTCTTCTTCATGATTTGGATGAGAACTGTTTCTCCCATGTCCTTCAAAGCTAAGCCAAAAAAGACATCCAGGGAACAAATATTATCTTGTCATCATCAACAGCAGTCAAAATGGCATGTTGCAAAAATGGAGATATTAAATCAAGCTTAGCTGGCCATATTGCCACACACAACACATCTTTTTGTCCTGCCTCTAGGCTCCATTGCAAATTTTTCTACCTGTTGCTGACTTCCACTTTCGTGTTTATGTGTGTGTGTTGCAGACCCCTGAGTGGCTGGATAGTGACTCTTGTCAAAAATGTGACCAGCCTTTCTTCTGGAACTTCAAGCAAATGTGGGACAGTAAGAAAATAGGCCTCAGGCAGGTTTGTATGTGCCTTTTTGTGTGTTAACATGGTGCCATTAGGCTTTTCTCTCATAATGGATTCTAGTAACCTTTTTCCCCCTAAAGCTTTGAGAATTTGTATTTTGTTCTTCCACTAAGTGCTCAGAGGTGGGACAGTGGGTTCCCCTCTGTGGCTTCATTTTGTGGTTGAACTGTTTTTTTTCTAAACAAACCCAATAGCAAATGCATGTAATAGACCTTTGGCTGAGTATATCTGGGGCCTTCCATGACTTTAGCCATGGGGGACTTTGCTCACTGTTAGTCAAGTAAGTTACAGAAAGAAATTTACAGCTGATTTTTGGAGACTGTGCTGGAACCAAAGCTGTTTTCAATGAGATTGGATAAACATATGTACCTGCTCAGGCTGTATTGGGAAAGGCTTACTGTTTTCTATGCTGTATTTTCCTGCCTAGCAGAAGAGGGCTGCAGATTGCAGGCTTTTACTAAAGGGGTGTAGAAGTGCTGCAAGTGCTCATGGAACTTGAGAAATAAGGTGTCTGCGGCAGAGCTGAGCTGCGTCATGTCTTGCTGGAGTGAGATGGAAGAGCCAGTGGACCTGAGCAGTGACCTGGTCTGGGTTTGTGGCCTGAGATGTCTTTCTGCCTGTTTCTCCTGCAGCATCACTGCAGGAAGTGTGGGAAAGCTGTCTGTGGGAAGTGCAGCTCCAAGCGCTCCTCCATCCCGCTGATGGGGTTCGAGTTCGAAGTGAGAGTCTGCGACAGCTGCCACGAGTCCATAACAGATGAGGAGTAAGTGTGGACACTGAGCCAGCTTGCACTCCAACGGGGGAGAACTCCTGCAGCTACAAGGGCCTGGGTGGGTGCAAGGCTCCAGGAGGGAGCAGCCTGGCATGGTGGTCCCTGGGCTTTCTCAGGAGGATAAGGAGGAGATGAAGTCAGGAGGGATAGAGAGCCCCTCATCCCTGTCCCTTTCATGCCAGAAAGGTCTCAAAGTGCTCTTTTATGGAATGGTTGCTGAATTAATGGCTTACAGCAGCAGTCAAATACTTTTTTCCTCAATAGAGAACATTTTGGGATGAAATCCTGCAGTTACAGTTCTTGCTGATTTTTGGATTTCTTTCTTCAGGCGGGCGCCTACAGCTACTTTCCATGACAGCAAGCACAACATTGTTCATGTACACTTTGATGCCACCAGGGGATGGCTGCTGACCTCGGGGACAGACAAGGTTATTAAGGTAGGAGCAAGGAATGTGCTCTAGCTCCTCTACTTCATTTCCCTTCCCTCTCCCATGTGGCTGCGTACCTGCCTTCTTCCACCCAGAGACTTCTCACTTGGGATTGGGATTAGCATTTCTGCCCAATAAGGACCAAGGAGGTCTTGGTCTGTGAAGTTATATCCTGAAGGGGCTGGGACAAGTGCTCACTGTAGCTTTCCTTTGAGGAAGACCAACTGTTTTTCAACATGCTAAATCTCAGTGTGGGTAGGTAAAGAAATAGCTAAAATAATGACTAAGTTATAACAGTTTGAGTAATTTAAAAAAGCAAAACCCTCACAATGTGTTATGATTGTTCTGATCATTGAAGTTAGTAATGCAGTGGGAGTTTTTTTGGTTTCTTTTGAGGCCAGCTATGAACCTGGCTCATACAGGTGAAAGCTGGTGACATACAGAATGTCATTTCATCAGCTTACACCACTCTGACATAAGTGCTGGACAATTAAATCAAATTACTTCAGACTTGTTGCATCCACCTCTAATCATGTTGCCCCTTTGAATTAAACAAGAAGGGTGTAAATTATTTAAAGGTTCTATTTTTACTGAATTGTATTGTCTTTTACCATTATTCATTATGTTGTTTTATTGTATTTAACAGTTGTGGGATATGACACCAGTAGTGTCTTGATGTTACATCAGTGGAACTTGGAAGGTGATATTTACAGAAGAAACGGATTTCCTAACCCTAATTATACTGCCGGAGATAGATAACACTGGGCACATACGGCAGATGAGAAAGGAACTAATGTGTTTACAACAACTTTATGTCCTCTGCTTGATCCAGGCTGAACTTTGCACGAAGACTCTTTCCACTTCTTCTCAAAATATACAAGAAGGTATTTTTTTAACTAACAGTTTGTACGATTTGACTTTGGTTGTCTTGAGTTCGTTTGGAAAAATCTGTGTGCAGTGCAATTTTTAGTTTTTATATTTCAATATGTCAAGATACTTGCTGCTTTGTACAGAGGGTTCTTGGGTTGTGTCTTCCTCTGTGAGTTTTTGGTGTCAACAGACTGTGTAAGGCAATTGGCTCTCCCTGCAGCCAGTACCTGTTGGTTTGGGATATTTCTGCTGACCATGCTCTTTCCAGAGGAGGAAATCCAGGCACGGTCTCTGGGTGCATCACCGAGGAGCTGATGGACTATTGCAATTCCTAAAAGGGCTCTACCATCTACTTGTCCTAGTGGGCATCATCCAGAGAGCATTCATTGGTCTGTATAATCTGCCTGCCTCTTCTTTTGCTGCACAAGTCACAGAACCAGGGGTCAGGTTATTCAGCAACAGATTTCTACAGAAAACTGAAATCGTTTTCCAGCTCAGAGCATTCTAAGGAGTACACAGACTTGTCTGAGTTTGATGATGCTGACAGTCTGATTCAAATGAAATTATTGGCAACAGGAACTTTTGGGAGTGTGTGCATGGAGGGGGGCAGATCTAAAACTGGTCTAGATCTGAAAAGTCTGGTTTATCTCTACCTCTACCTCTACCTTGCACAGCAACATTTCAGCATTTATACCTGTCTGTGTTGTTGAAGATGAATTTTGTTCTTCCTGTTTTCCATATGGTTAGCCATATTTATTTTTTTAAATGCTGATGGTTTTTATTAATTTTCTCTATAAACCCAGAAGTGATATTGCTGAATGATGCCCATTGTCCTGTTGTCATACTTTACAGTTTCTCTTAAAAATAAACGGTATTCAAAAACCTGGATTGACCAAAATTACCTTTTTGAATGACACTGTCTAGGTGAATAAACTAAAAAAGCTCTTTTGTCCAAAGGGACCATCTCTGAAGAGCCAACTCTCCATTCCATTAATCCATGTTACTTTTTAGCATGGTATTACTCACACACTTCAAAGAAACTGGTGTAGAGAATTTGCTCTGCAAAGGCTTTCCTACATCTCCTGTTTCAGTGGGCCTTGTGGTTGTAGCTGCTGTGACACAGCACATTGGTGGTGCTCAGTCTTGCCCTGTTTTGGACTTCCCTTGGGGAGGCCATGACATTTGCCACTACAGGGCACATTGCTACCTGGAGAAGCCTTGTGTTCTCTCTTGAGAGTGAATGCTGAAAGAAAATAAAGTTTCTCCTTTGATTGCCCAGCATCAATTTACTTTTGAGGGGAAAAAACTGGTTAGCTCAATCCATTGCATTAATTCTGATCCAGTGAGCTGCTGCAGTAAAGGGTGAGTGGACTTCTGTGTGCACATGACAGGACTGCTGTGTACTTTCAGGGAAAATTCTCTTTTTGAACATCTTGTAACGTGTGATGAAGCATTTTGTAGTCATGTTCTCTGAATTAACACCACCTTGGATTTCCTGGATGTACAGCCTGTTGTTGGTTCTCCTCTAGACAGCATATTTTAAAGCATATTTTCAAATATAATTCACACAGTACTGTTATTTTTCCAACTTGAAAGTTGTTTTCTCAGTCTTCCTGCTTTCTCTCCTGGAAACTAAATGCTTGTTTCCTCTTGGAATGCTTTTCACCAAACCTTGTGCATGTTTTCTGATGACTGAAGCGTTCCTGGCTGTCAAAGCTATGCAAGATGAGCAAGTGGCCTGCCATATTTCATTCTACCTGGAGAACATGTACAAAGCTTTCCTGGACTATGGTGTTCCATGCTCCCTTGGGCTCGGGGCCTTTTGGCCAGAGACCTGACTTGTGCTGTGCAGGGAGTGCATCTCACGGGAACAGAAGCATGGGCACGCTGAAGTGAATTTAAATTGCTGCTTAGTGCTTGGTTCCTGAGGAGACAGCAGTGGCACCAAGGCTGGGACTCCAGCATGAATTGTGCTCACACTGATGGAGTGATGGAGTCAGCAAGCTGAGGATCTGCCCCTGGGTCAGCACCTACTCCTGAACATGTAATGTGCAAACAAATGTGAAGAACTGATTCCAAAGGAGACTACATTTGAGAATGACTTGTTTGGACTGTTCTGCAATAAACTTGTGGCCACATCCCCCTTGTCTTCCAAGGAGTCATGGTTTCAGTGTTGCTTATATGAGGATATGGGGTATGCAAAACAGTTTTGCAGAATTTTCTTGGCTTTTCTCTCTCACTGAATGACCTGCAGGGTTATCTGGATTTAAGCTAAACATCTCCTTATCTTTCAGTTTCAGGACAAACTGCTGTGGGCTTAGAAAATTATATAAGATGCAAGTGAAGCTGAGGGGGAAAGGAAAATTTGTCCCTTTGCATTGCCCTCAAGAGCTGTAATGTAGAGATTATGAAGGGAAAAATAGATGTATCTAATTAATAATTCTTTTACTTTCCAAATGAAGAAAGATTTGAAACTGCGAGAGTTAAAATGCCTGCCTTCCTCTTGTGCTGTGTTAGAGTAGCAATCTCACTTTCTTCTCTCTGCTGCTTAGTTTCTTCTGTCTGCTTCTTCTTGATGCATACGAAAAGGGACCTCAGTTGCCGTACCTTTTTTTTTTTTCCCATTTTGCTTGCTGAATAACAAATCTGAGCTATTTTTATGAATTTCACTATTGGAGGATGGGAGGAGGGTGTGTTTTGATACAGGTGTAAACTATGCAGTGCCACATACCTACACACACTCTTAAATGAAGCTAAGCTCCCTTTCCCTAGGGCTGCTGAAGGGCAGTACCTTGTAGTGATACCTCATGCTGTGAGACAAGGGGTACACAAACCTTGCTAGCCTCTCTCTGCTCTACACATTAGAAAAGGTGATTTTCATTTCTCTTCTTAGCTGGTGCTTCCTTGTGGGAATTGTTCTCCAGAGCATCTGTCTGCTATTCTCGGTTTTAAAATAAGCAGTGTCTGTAGGGCCTAGGCAGGTGATGGGGCAGGTCACATACACAGTGCCTGAGCAGTTTGCTAGAGTCTTGTGTCCCAGGTGGGGCAATCTGAGCACCAAACTTCAGACTTTTTAAGCTGAAAATGTTTAAGTGAAGGGAAAAGAATGTGGGCATCTGCTTGCAATGTGGCATTGATGATCCTCCCATCTACCAGAAGACTTAACGTCATGGTTAGATGTTGAAACAGAGCAATGATAGGGCTACAAGTCAGCCAGTCTGACAGAGAGTAATCCTGGACAGTGACATTGGTGTGCTCCACTGTGAGCACCCTTGTCTGCAGCTGCTTCTTGCAGCCAAGCCCAGGTGACCTCCCTGCTCTGTTCTCCTGAACTTGCAGCCATCACCTGCATGTCAGCATGTGGGCTCTTAGTACCTCAGTACTGGTTACTTCACTTTGCCTGAGAGGGTGGCATGGGCATCTCGGGTACTGGGAAAGGGAGGGATGTGTTCCCTCTGAGTGGGAGAAATGAAACTACTGTATGGAGCCTGGCAAAGGACCACTGAGATGGTGAAAGGTAATGGAGCATATCTGGGAGAGCTGGGACTGTTCATCTTGGAGAAAAGAAGGCTCAGAGGGATCTCATCAGTGTGTATAAATGCCTGAAGGGAGGGTGCAAAGAGAATGCACGGGTGACCAGTGACAGGGCCAGAGGCAATGGGCACAAACAGAAACACAGATTTCCTCGGAACATCAGGAAACCATTTTTACTGCAAGGGTGACTGAGCATGGAAACAGACTGGCCAGGCAGGTATTTTGTGGGTTCTCTGTCTTTGGAGAAAACACAACTGGACATGACCCTGGCAACCACCTCTAGGTGACCCTGCTTGAGCATGACCAGATGACCTTTGAAGGTTCTTTCCCACCTCAGCCATTCTGTGATTCAAAGTCCATTTAATGCCTGTGTCTACTCTATTGTTTAGAGAAGGAAAAACATAACTATATTTCCTTAAATCTAAACTACTAACAAATTAGTTACTAACAAATTAGCAAATATTACCTATGTCTGGCCTCACTGTTCCAAACAGGATTTGCATACCAACAACCAAAGTTCTGTTTTGTAGCACACAGGAAATAGGGCTACCATGTGTGGTTTTACAGGCCATGTCCTTTCCAGGAGACCACATTGAGCACATGGGATGTTTTCAATTAGAAGATGCAACAGTAACAACAAACTTGATCCTTTTTTCAGGATGCATTGATGTGCTGAGTTCCTTCAGTGATGACCTCTTACATAATATTGAAGAAGACAGAGATTTTTCTCTTCAAAATTTCATCTTGTGAATATTGGCAGCAAATCTTTGCTCCTCAGAAATAAAAAAAACAACGTTCCTAGTTTGCCAATAACCTGAAGTTTGGGGATTTGAGATTAACTTTGTGTGATCACATGTGACTTTTCATTGCATTTTCCCAGTTTGGGGATTTTCCCTTGTAACCAGTCTTTGACCATGTCTGAAATTGTGTTTGCTGCAGGACACATTGTACTGTTCAGAAGAGAAAGAGATTGAGTTCAATTGAAATTGCTGCCAAGTTGGGACATTGAACTCAAACCAAAATAAAAACAAGGGAGCGAAGTCCTGGCAAAGTCTGTGCAGAGGGGATACCAAGAAAGAATGTTATCAGCATACAAACAAAACCAAAAAAAACCAAACCAAAACAAAAAGAACCTACAGTATAGAAATTAATATTCATCAGAACTGTATAAAGCCAAACCATCCCCCCATCCCAGTACTGTAATCCTGCCAGCAGCCATGGTTCAGATCCAGAAGCCACAAGGAACATAGAGTTGTTCCATCTATGAAGATTTGACTTCCATTTCTTGTTCTTTGGTTCAATTGCCAAATAATATTTATCTACCTCAAGTAGTTTTTTTCAAGGACTGCAGTAAATACGTAAGCACTTTGATATTAAGAGGATTGGGAAGAGTCACATTACTACTGAGATGGTACAGAAGATGTGTCAGGCCTTATGAAGATTGTCTCTCCAGTTATTTGTTCTTTAGATATTAAATAATCTCAATTTATTAAAGGGGTTATCACCTTTATACTTACATTTTATCACAGGTCAGGGCTTCCTTCAGATGTGAAAACGCCTTTGCTAACACCCCTATGTTGTCCTGTCCCAAGAAAATTCTGTGAGGTTGCCATGGCCAAGTAATTAAGAAATTTTCACAAACAAGTTCACAACCTCCTTGCTACATCTTTGTCATCAGCACTAGTTTTGGCTGTGGTTTAGCTTTCCGAAGGTTGAGCCTTGTTTCTGACTCTGCTTGGTAAGTTGTCAGACTGACCAATGTCTCTCATGGGCTTTGCTGTTTTTTTTATTAGAAGGATCTTACATGAAAAAAAGCTCCCACTGGCTTTTGTTCAAGTTTTGTAGGAATGTTGCTCAACCATTTTTGAACATCTTTTCTACCAACTACATTGTAACACTTTCCAGTACTGCTCCATTATGTAAATAAGTGGTTGCTGATGTAGCTGAATAAACTGTGGTATCTTAACCCCACTAAAATAATTTCTATCAGCTTTTGGTTATTTCTTTTCGTTCTCTCTATGTGTAATGAGGAATTTGGTTTACTGAGTTTTGACTGGACTCATTCACCTGCCTGTTCTGTGAATTGCCATAAAACTGACAGCTCTTGTATGGACATATCTTTTGCCAGGACAATTTCTTGGCCTGAGTGCTTGGCACTGGGTGAGCAGCCCAAAGAAAATGGTGTCTGGGCAGCAGAGGAATTGCATGATTTTGTGCATCATTCCAAGGCTCCCTGTAGATTGTGGATTCTGAACTGAAAAGTAAATGGAAGATGCTCAAGACTTTTAACCATCAAAGAAAATGGCACTTCCTGGGACCTCTCTCCCCGAAAGTGCAGTTTTACCACTTTTCCCCTGTTTGGACAATATTTTTATCTGTGAAATGGCACTGGCACTGCCGGTACAGCAAAGGTTTGAGTTGTTTCTCCTGGCAGCAGGGTAGAAACCTGTCCTGCTGAAGACCTTTGGCCAGGCTGACACTGTGTCCCTTCATAAAGCTGAGCATTAGCTTTTGAGAGAGAACAAACTTCCTTCAGAGGAATACATTATTTTTCTTTATCTGATGGCTCCTTCTAGAGAGTGGAACAAATACTGACCTACTTCACAAATTGAAGTTCTTTGATCACTTTTAGTCCCAGAAGTGTTTTTGTTGCACTTGCTCCCTATCAGATTCGGTGCCTTTTCAAAGCCTTCTTTGTCTCATTGTCTAGATCAGTGCTTTTTTGACTGCAGGAATACAGAGTTCTTGAGTCATCTTAGTTGCATTTCAGAATTATCTCCTGTAATCAGTCACTGGCTCTGTCTGAATGTGCCCAGAATTACATCTCTTAACAAAGCAAAAGATGGAAGCCTGAGACAAACAGGAAACACTGTGAGCTGAGCTAGGGAAGATGCAAAGCTGTGCACTGCCAGAGTGGAAACTGCCTATCTTAAATGACTGTGGGTGGATGTTGACCAGCACTAGTTTTACATAAGTATGATCACATAAATGTCATGAGCTGGGGTGCTTTATTTTTGCAGGGAGGGTGAGAGGAACTTACAGATTAAATTGCTTCATAGCTGCCTTCCTCCACTGTTCCATCAAGTTACTCTTCCCTGAAAGAGTAACTCCATGTTCACTCTCCACTCACCAAGTTCAGCACTGCTCAATGAAAACTAGTATTGCTTCAAGTACCATGCCTTTTAGAAAGGCTTTGTCATTACAAAACTACAAATTATTGCTTGTACTGACAATTGAAATGGCTGGGACTGTCCCCCACCTAGTAAATTTGTTTACACTGAGTTTTGCAGGACTGAGTTATCAGGCTATAATGAAGGATATAGCAGAACTCCCTTTGAGTCCAGGCAGTGCGTATTCAAAATCCCACCTGAGTCTTGTTTAACAGGAATGGGTGGCCCTGCTCACACCCTGTTGTGAGAAGAACGCAGAAGCTGGAATGTGTGTTACTGCAAATGCCAACAATTGGTGTTTGCAGTTTACTCCAAAATTGTGAGGTATGGGAGTGCTCCCATTCTAAGGCAAACAATAAACAATTTTTTACACCTTTCATCAATAGCAGGTTGATTTAGTTGGGGTTTTTCTAAACAATTACTAAAGATGACCCAGAAATTAAACTAAAGACAAAATGCAGTTTACAAAATCGTTTGATACCTGTTACATTGACCTCCTAAAATTTTTATCCAAGAAAAAAAGAGAAGTTGCAGTGGCTCCTGCATCACTGCAGTCAGTCCTGCTGCAATGATGATGGGCTGTACCTTTCCATTAGGATGTAGAGAAATTACCAGCTCCACATGTGCTCTGTGGTGCTACATTTCTGTGCAAGATCCCCGAGTTTGATCCCAGACTTCCCAACTAGGCGACTTCACCAAATGAAGAAAAATGTGAAGCTGTCAGAATGAGGTCAGTGTGTTGGGCTGCACATGGACTGGAAAGGGTGGCAAGAGCAGCTGCTGTGCTTATCATTCCACTCCCATGAACCAGGTGTGCTTGCAAACTCCCAGTGTGTTCTGCTTATCAAGGACCCGTGCCACCTTCATTTTCTGGTCATCTGTCACTGGATGCTATTTTTATTTTGCCCATGAAGTTTTAAAAGTGGAAGAGGAGACTGAGGGGAGACCTAATCAGGGTCTACAACTTCCTTGTGAGGGGAAGAGGAGGAGCAGGCACCGATCTATTCTCTGGGGTGACCAGTGACAGGGCCCTAAGGAATGGCCTGAGGTTGTGTAAGGGGAGGTTTAGTTTGGATATCAGGAAAAGGTTCTTCACCCACAGGGTGGCTGGGCACTGGAACAGGCTCCCCAGGGAAGTGGTCACAGCACCAAGCCTGAGTTCAGGAAGTGTTTGGACAATGCTCTCAGGCATAGGGTGTGACTCTTGGGGTGTCCTGTGCAGGGCCAGGAGTTGAACTCCATGATCCTTGTGGGTCCCTTCTGACTCAGCATAATCTGTGAGTCTGTAAATGTATTCACTTACATGAAGGTGCAAGTCATTCTGGATTGCATTAGACAAATCCTCTCGCTGGCTTGCAGCCACATGCCATGTTTGCTGTCGTGGAATCAGGCTGAAATAAAGCATCAGCAGGACCATAATACCAAAGTGTGTGACACTCTGGACTTTGCTTCTAGTTGCTGTTCCTGTGGTTTAGTTCTTTTTAAATCACAAGTGCTCTTAAACCATAGCATGTTACTCTTTGACACTGTGACCAAACTTTGATTAAAGCAGTTTTCTTAACTTTGGCTTCATTTTTAAGCTGAGACACAAAATTAAAAATACAGACTACTCAAATACACTAGTGCAGTATGTGGACTAAAATGTGTTAAATATATACAAATACAGTGCACAGTTTTTACTTTTATGAACTATTTAAATACCAGTCATTAAACTTTTCTTCTGTACTGCAGAGCTGAGAAGCAAATTGGTGTAAATATAAATAATGCAAATGTTTTTATTAGCCTTGCAGCTATTGGGTTAAGAAATGTAGTTACTATATATACTTCCAGCCATGCTCTTGTTTTGGGTAACTGTATTTAACAGTTGAAACCACAGAAAATGTTAATACCAGATTTGCAGGAAATAAACCTCTGTACAAGCCTTGCTGTTGTTTTCTTTCACTGTAGTGCAAGAAGGAATTAATTTTATAAATGAGGCAATAACTTGAATGGTGACCCAGCCTCTTCAGGAGGAGCTGTGACAGCTTGACTTGTCTCAGCACTGCTTATCATGGGAAAATTTTTCTCAGGGCTTCTCTGACAGTAAAGTCTTTATTACTAAGGACATTGACTGAAAACAGCAGGTTTTTTCTTAAACTCTTACTTAATAGGAGTTGTTTGACTGATGAAGAAATACCATCAGCCAGAAGGAAACTAAATAATGTAGAGCAGACGGAAGGAGCTCTCCTCTGTCCATCAGCAGTTTTTAGCTGCCAGTCACTGCAGAGAGCTCAAGAACATCTGTGTTACATTTATGTTTTGATCCTTGGTCCTACCCACACTGGTGTGAGCCACATGTGAAACAATGCAGCAACTTGGCTGAGTTCTGGAGGCAGCTGGTTAATAAATACAATCAGTTCAGGAGTAAAGATGTTACCTTTGTTAGTAATAGTTTTGGCTTTGCAGTAAATCTGAAATAATTAAGACAAAATTAGTCCCACCACAATGTCTTAGTCTGAGCTGATTGTCTTCAGCACTGTTAGAAAGATGCAGCACTGTAGGTGGTGTTTCTTAAACTAGATCCAGTAAATCCCTGTGAAAAAGCCCATTTTCCCCTCTACCGATTTAGAGTGAGAAATTCAGTGAGTAATTCAAATGTCCACAGACAGGTAAGATGAATCCTGTCCTCTGTGTCTGGAAGTAAACAGATCCAGACAAAACACAAGCCTCGCATCAGGAGGTAGATTCTCCTCTAAAACCTGTGCTCTGCCAGTGTTCCCTTCCCCTCTTAATCCATTCACAGTGATAAAACAATCCCCTTTAATCTCTCACAGAAAGAGCAAGCATGCAAGGTATACCTTAGCACGTTGTTTCTTTTTGTGCCTACAGTCATGCAACCATTTCTCTGCTGTATCCAGACATGTCTGGGTGTGTTGTGTTGAAACCTCCTACTTCGTGGTATTTTGACATAAATGGGATAACATTTAGCCCTGGCTCCATCAAGTAATGTGGAAGGCATTTGGCAGTGTTCCTAGATTCTTGTTGTTTAAACACGAGGAAGCAGATCACTTCTGCATACCAGCACCAATTTATAGAAACTAAAGGCTGTGAGGAATCCTTCCCTTTAAATTAAGCAGGTTCTGCAAGACAGTTTCTGCATTCCCAGTTACATGTTTGAGCCTCATCACCCTCATGCAGAGAAGGAAGCCACCAACCTGTCAAATATGGGAGTTAAAATTGTTTAAAACATTCCCACTTTCCTGAAGTCCTTCATGAAAGCTACTGAAAGTACACTCCTCTGCATTTCTCTTTGCTGAGTGTTTTAAATTATTTTAGGTAACTTTACAAAGTCTCAGGTCTTATTTTAATGCCTCTCAATTTTTCTTCCAATCCAAAGAACTCAACCTTAGCGTGTCTTGAGGCAGCAACTGCATTTTCACAATGGGAGAGACTTGGCAGAAGAGACTTGGCACACAGGTGCCACTCTACTACCTCATTATGAGAACACCTGAACCTAATTTGTTTTTAACAGGCCTATGGCATCCTACTTCCCCTCAACAGCAGATTACTGTGTAATTAGAAGATTTGTGGTGACACTGTGTCAGCAGACACTAAATTCCTGGAGAAACAGATTTAAACTTCCGGGAGAACTCTTCCAGCATCTCCATCAGTTTCTCTTCATCCTCTGGTGGACTGTGGGTGTATGCTAGGGGTAAGTGTGTAGGGACTGGTTGTCTGTCTGGAAGAAAAAAAAAAACCATTATAGGTACATTTAACTCTCTTATAGTAGAAAGCAGGTTTTTCTGATAGACTCTGTACTGTCCAAACATA